AGAAGGTCATGCTACACGCCGAAGATTCCAACATGATCTTGCAGAACAGCGATGACCCCAACTCTCTCTACCGCATGGACTTGGAGTACGGCAAAATTGTGGACGAGTGGAAGGTGCATGATGACATCCCCGTGCACACCTTTGCCCCGGAGAGTGTAAGTCAACACCCATCAGTACCTGTGATTCAATGATGAATGATCGCTAACTTTGCGCCTAGAAATTCTCCCAAATGACATCCGCTCAATCTTTCATTGGTGCCTCGAAGAATGCTCTGTTTCGCGTCGATCCCCGTGTGGCCGGAAACAAGTTGGTGGAGTCTGAGCTGAAGCAATACGCCAGCAAGAACGACTTCTCCTCTGTGGCTACCACGGAGAAGGGATACATTGCCGTCGCGTCTAACAAGGGCGATATCCGCATGTTTGACCGACTTGGTATCAATGCTAAGACTCATATTCCTGCGCTGGGTGAGCCTATTATTGGTCTCGATGTGTCCGCCGACGGTCGCTGGGTCTTGGCTACATGCCGCACTTATCTCCTGCTCATCGACGCCCTGCAGAAGGACGGCAAGAACGAGGGCAAGTTAGGCTTTGAGCGTTCTTTCGCCAAAGACTCCAAGCCGCAGCCGCGTCGTTTGGGTCTGCAGCCCGCTCATGTCGCCCAATTCCAGCACGAGACCAAGAAACCAATTGCTTTCACGCAGGCTCGCTTCAACACGGGTGTTGACTCACAGGAAACGTCGATCGTTACCGCTACCGGTCCCTTCATCATCACTTGGAGCTTGAAGAAGGTCATCGCTGGCCGCAAGGACCCTTACACCATCAAGCGGTACGGTGAGGAAGTCATGGCCGACAATTTCCGCTTCGGTTCGGACAAGAATGTCATTGTTGCGCTACCCAACGAAGTCAACATGGTGGCGAAGAAGAGTCTGCTGAAGCCGACGCGTGAGAGTATCGCTGGTCCCTTGCCCATGACCCCTCGGCGCCGTACGCAATGGGGTAGTCGTCTGGGCCGGGACGACATTGTCAACTCGCCGTATTGATGCTATCTTGGTGGTTTCCTGTTTCGATTTATCGCATTGCATACCCCTCTGTGTTGTTTATTTTTTGAGTCTGTCCCTTCTACACGTTTGGTGTCAACATTCCTGCTTAACATCACGGATCGTAATGTCTTGATGGAATTCTCTGACGGTGGGATTGGGAATGGCGAATGATGCGACGATGATACTTCTCCTAGGTAGCTCTATGTAGTGGTAATCAAAGTACACGAATTATGAGATGACGATGGATTATCCGAGCAGTGCCACAGTACTGTAGTGGGCGCTGCCTATACTAATTCCCGATTGGCATTTCATCTGCCTCGCGCGCACCAAACCCCCTCCCCTGATTCATGCCACCTGGCCGGGTCAATGTTCAGATTATTATAGACCAATCTGCCCGCAGATCATGATCCCCCCCCTTTGTTATAATCCAGCAGCGATCAATCTACAAATGACCGAGTGGAGACACACACATATACCTGATTACCCAAAACCGGGGGCCTCATTTGCGCGCCCGACCCTAAGAACCGACATACCAAACCTCTACCCCGAGGATATCGAACTTGACGCCTTCATCCGAGAGCGGTTCATTGCCAAAAGTCTGGGACGCGGCACTGACGCCTTTCTCCAAGCTCGAGTCCACCCAGAGCCCGTAATGCCCATCCCTAGACCACCAGTTTGTTAGCACGTCCAATCCAACCATTCGCAACTTGATAAAGACAGGGAGGGGAAAGAGGAGACATAAAACTCACCCCCCACCAAGACTCAAAAACCCCGTCTCACAGAACATCATATAATCATTGACGCCGCTGTAGGGGAACGCCTTGAAGCGGATCTGCTCCGGCGTCGCCGTCCCACTACTATGCCCAGTGTTCTGGGAGGTACTACCCGTCCCAGGAACCGACAAGTTTCCGCTGGTACGAGGCAAGGGACTCCGGCTCCGCAGGGTGGTCGACCGCCCGGCGTGCGTGGTGTCCGCGCTGGGCGGTAACGGGAGCCCGGCGCGTTCGAGCACGGCCAATGCGGCGTCTTCTTCTTGGTGGTTGATCGTGGACATCGACTGTAGGAGTTGGGCGGTCGAGGGCGGCTGTAGCACCGAGGCGCGCCAGAGGAAACATTCGCCCGTGCCGAAGTAATGCGAGTCCGGGTGCGGGGGGTCGGTCATGTAGGCGCCGAAGACGGCGCCAGTGCTGCTGCTGCTGCTGCCGTTATTGTTGTTTGAGGTGGTGGTGGTTGAGGAGGAGGTGGTGGAGGGGGAGGGAGAGGCATCGCGGATTATCAGGACGTAGCCCGCCCGCGGGCTGCGCTGGGAGATGGCGCGGCAGTTCTCGTACAGGGTCGACAGCGAGGCGCCGTCGCGTTCCAGGCTGTAGGCTAGGCGCCAGGTGTCGCACAGTTGGAGGCGGGCGGGCACGAGCAGCCGGATCTCTTCGGCCAGCGAGCGCGTGAGCAGGTAGTCTTCTTGGTTGTTGTCGGGGTGGTGGCTGGAGGGGTCGGTTAGGGTTAGAGGGGTCAGTGGCGGGGGTTGGAAGGGGGAGGCGGTTCGGACGGGCGTGAAGAGCGTGTTGGTTGTGGATGATCTGTCGGTGGGCGTGGTGTTGGAGTGCCAGGGGCGGCGCATCGTGCTGCTGTCCTTGTTGCTGTTGTTGTTGTTGTTGTTGTTGCTGTTTTGGGTGGATTGAGGGTCGGTGAAGCGGCGGTACAGGCCTGAGACGACGTGGGTGACCGGGTAGGAGAAGTAGGAGGCTGCTGATTGATGGAGGGAGGAGGATTGCTGCTGCTGCTGGTGGTTGTTGTGGTGCTGGTGTTGCTGGGTTGAAGTTTGTTGTTGTGATTGTTCTTGGGACTGGTCGAGAGGTCGGGGGGAGGAGGAAGTACTCGAGGACAGCGAGTATGACGACATGCGGGCGGAGATGTTCAGGACTTCTTGCAATTGAAGTGGTGGAATTGAACGAGTGTCATAGATCGATTTGGTAAGAGTCAGATACTGACAATGACTATGGAGGGGAGGAGGGGAGAGAAAGAGGAAAACGAAGCAAGTGGAGAGGAGAAGAGGAGAGAGAGGGTGGATGATGATGAGGTGTGAACAAGATAAGGAGTTTAATCAATCAATCGATCAGTCAGTCAGTCAATCAGCCCACACCAATTTAGTTCACAGAATCTCGTGTATGCTTCTAGATCAGACCTTTAGACTCCATTCCACCATTATTCTATACTTCTTTAGCCAATCCTATGCAACCAATCATTCTATACAGCTACTCTATTCTTTACCATTTGCCATGTTCCACTTGCTGCTTGTTACACACTAATTGATTGTCTCCGTATCTTTTTGTAACTGCAAAATATCTTCAATTGCAACCTCCCCCACTCATCCATTGAGCGCTACCCCAACACTGCAACATGACAGACTCTCCGCCTCCTCCCTTGCAGCAACCTGCCTCCAACACTACTGTCTTTCTCGATCAACCTCCCAGCTGCCTGCAATTCTGCCCCGCAATCCCCGACTGCTGCATCATCGGCACCTACTTGCTGTCCGAACAGAAAGACGAAGCAAATGACTCCGACATCAAACAGACCAAGACTGGCTCTCTGCAGCTCTGGCGCATAAACCCATCCACCAACGAGCTGTAAGCTTCTCTATATCCTGCCATTATCACCCTAAGAACGAGGCAACTAACCCCAACCAGCACTTTGCTCTCCAAACTTCCTCTTCCCTACGCAGTCTTCGACCTCCACTTCCACCCACGCGATCCCTCCCTCCTCTCCATCGCAACAAGCGCAGGCTCTGTCGCCTTCTTCCGCCTCACGCCTGGCCAAAATGCTGATCAACCACCCACCCTAACCCATCTGCTCACACATTCCGTCCACGAAGACCTCTCCATCCCCGCCCTCTTCCTCGCCTGGACGCCCTCGACCTGGCCATCTCCCACCCCCAGCACCAATACTGAAACCACCCCCCTCGACGCCTTCGCCGTCACCTTCTCCGACAGCCTTACCACCATCTTCCAATATACCCCCGGCCCGACCCCGGACTCACCACCCCAGATCGCGGAACTCGATTCCTTCCCAGCCTCGCAGGCCATCGAAGTCTGGTTCGCCGCGCTCGCGACCTTTCCCGACCAGCAGCAGCAACAAATCCCCTACATCTTCACCGGAAACGACTTCGGCGCCCTCCACACCCGCCGCTACGACACCAACCCCACAACCACATCAGAAACGGACGACAGTCAGCCCCAAGCCCTCGCCGCGCTGCTCGACCACAACGACCGCGCCCGCCACCACACCGCGGGCGTCACCTCCATCCTCCCCTTGCCCATTCCACTCCGAGACGACAGCCCCATCATTCTCACGGGGAGCTACGACGAGTCCCTGCGAGTGTACCACGCCACTCGACGCGGGGAGGTTCTTGCGGAGATAGGGCTGGGCGGGGGCGTGTGGCGGCTGCAGCTTCTGTCGTCGTCGTCGTCTACGTCACAGTCTGTGGATGGAGACGAGGTAGACGAGGGATGGACCGGGCTGGTGTTGGCGAGCTGTATGCACGGCGGGACGCGGGTGGTGCGGGTGCGGTGCCCCTCCGCGGAGTTCGGGTGGGAGTTGGAGATTCTGGCAGAGTTCACGGAGCATGAGAGTATGAACTATGCGTCTGATGTGTGGAAGCCGGCGGGCGGGTATGAGCTACCTGTGCGCAGCAGCGATACGCCGGAAACGCAGGAGATCCTCTGTTTGTCGAGTAGCTTCTATGATCGGCGGGTCTGTTTGTGGCGGGTTCGGGTGTAGATAGATGTAAATAGATAAATCATAATATAGTGAATGCTTAGGTGTATACTGCAAGAGATACTCATCTACCCTCCGCAGGAGAGAGGGAAGAAAAATGGCATAGTAATCCTCATTAAAATGATGCAGCCGTCCCCCCCGGAATCTTTGTCTAAGTTACACCACCTCACTCCACAGGAGAAAACGGCCCTTAAACAATCGTCTCCAACTCGCGCGCATACCCGATCGCATTCTCAATGATCGTCCCACTCGCGACCAGGATATCCTTCTCCGAGCGGGCGGCCGCCTCGGGCTCGACGGGGAAATAGATGCGGCCGTCGCGCAGCACCCACCCCCGCTGCTGGGCGAACTCGATCACCGCGCCTTCCGAGTCCATGAAGAGCAGGTTCTTGGCGTTGGAGATCGGCAACGACGGGTACGCCTTCTCGGAGCAATCGGCGATTTCGCTGCGGATCGTACCCACGAGGACCTATATACCTCACACGAATCACGTTAGCAAGCGCACGCACACTGCACCAATCTCAACCTCCCCTAAAGAAAGAATGCCGGCCAAAAAAAGGGAGGAGACATACACTCGAAAACAACCCGAAATCCTCGCCGGGCACCCGCTCGGAATTCGTCTCCCGCCACACCTTATCGTAGCTCCCTTCCATGAGATTCCGCTCCAGCTCCACGGGGTACTTGATGAAGGGGTCATCCTCGACGCTCCGGCCCTGCAGGCTGGCCTCCTCGACCAAGCCCTCCAGCACCGTGTGGAAGCTCGTGCTGTCGCCCATGCTCAGCAGGAGCAGCAGGTACAGGCCTGTGATCTTGCTGCGTTGGCTGTTGCTGCTGCTGCTGCTGTTGCTTTCCCGGGAATCGCGCTCCAGATCGTAGAACGGCTGCAGTTGTTGGTAGTAGCGCGTGAAGCCGGGGGCATCGGTCTGGCGGATCGCGGCGAGGGCGCCGAGCTCGAGGATCTCGCGCGCCAGCGGGAGCAGCTCCCGCGGTGTGGTCGGGGTGGGGATCAGGGCGTTCTGTTGGAGGAGCGTGCGCTTCGCTTGTGTGAGGATGCTGCTGGCTTTTTCGAGGTTGTGCGCGCTCAGGCTGCTGTGGAGCTGGGTGATGAGGGTGCGGAGGTCGGTGGCCATCTTTGGGGTTTGGGGTTTTGGGCCGGTTCGTTGGGGGGTTGAAGGGGGGGGGGGAGAGGGTTAGGGATGCGGGATGGGGTGCTGGACGTGAGGGTTAGATGGTCGGTGTTTGAGCTGTGGAGGGTGATGATGAGGACTGGTAAATTGAGAGGTTAGGATTGAGGTGTTATACGTAGGACGAGGGTTGGGCTGATGGACGTTGACGTTGATGCTTGGAACTGCCGGGAAGAGCTGTCCCCGGGCGGTGAGATACGGGTCACGTGTAGTTGGTGCTTAGAGCATCTTACCCGATTGGGAAATATCTAGTGGACCTGGCAGGGCAGGTAGACAGCCCTCTCCTGGTTACTATAATACAACGGTAAGAGGGATTTTGTTAGACATTGAAGAGATTAATAATTGACTAAAGTGGCTAAGCTTCCAATGCAAGCTCCAACAGAGTCTCATAGTATGGTGTGCCCAGCCCCGTCACCGGGTCCCAGCCTGGAGTCGCATTCCATCCGGCATACGGTACTTGCGCTCCGGTGGGTTCGTCACATCCAACCGATCCTCCATCGACAATATCCGTGAATCCTCTCTGTTTGAGCGAGTATAGCCATGGGTTCAGGAAGCCCAGTGTGGACTTGCCCTGCTCCAGACGCGCTGCATTCAGTCGAGAGATTATGGCGGCAAAGACAGGCGCCGCAGCACTACAGTTCCAGTCAATCCCGAGTTCGTGACTGCTAGTGACTAAGGAAAGGAAGATCTCACCTAGTGCCCCCAGTCTTCATCCACTCACCATGATCCCGAAGCACAAAGTTATTGGCCTGGGTGGAGACATCAGGGATGCCGCGTCCCTGTGGATTGTAAAGTCCTTCATACAGGTTCCCTAGGCTGTGCAAATAGCCCGTGACATCCGCATCCTGATAGGAAGGTCGAGCGAAGATATCCGAGAAGCCGCCTCCGGAGAAGGATATGGCAGACTCGGGGTTCGTCCCTTCCGTACCGCCCACCGAAGTGACAAACGGACACGACGCCGGAAAGACGGGCTGGAACCGAGTCCGCCGTGTACCATCATGGGTCATACATGCATCGCCGGGCCCCCAGTCACCACTGCTGAAGATGACAGATACTCCTCTGGCCCCCAGCTGCGCGAAGAGGTTGCAGACAGCTTCTGCATATGCTGCGGGTACAAACGGCTCTTCTTCCCCATAGGAGGTGCTAAGAACCGCAGGGAGATCTTTATCTGGTAGGTCAAGCAGGTAGTGCAGTTGCTCGAGATAGGGCTCATTTGTTGAGTCAGCTATGGTCAGCATCCCGGACTCTTGCACCATCGGCCCACGCCCGGCAGTAGTATAGTACACAGCAGACGCGTGGTAGGACAGCGATAGAGCGTATTGGATGTCAAGGGCCGCCTCACTGGACGGACTGAGCGAGTACTGGAGATTACGCCCACCATTGATGGAGACCACGGAGAAATTGGCATCGGCTTGATTTGGGGCATATTCTGCAAGGAATTGCTCCAGATCGTCATACCGTGCATATTCCTCCAAGAAGCCGGAGACACCCAGCCGATTGCGTGGGTCGGGTGTTATCTCGGTATCATTGATCCCGTAGAGCTGGCGCAGACAAGCAGGAGTAACTGTCCTCGAGCAATTGCCAGCGAGGTCTTCTGCAGTGAGCGCAACAGGCACAAAGGTTTCGGGACTGTCAAGAGCTTGAGGAGATCCGAACCGTGTTGTAGGCTGGATGAGCTGAACAAACGGACGGATATTCTCTGGGACAGAGTATGCAAGCGTCCGAACCGTTGTCGTTTGTGTCCTTGGGTGGTAGAAGTGGCTGAATTGAGTCTTCATCATCGACTCGGCCTGTGATAATGGGATAGTGAACGCAAGCCAGTCGCCCCGATCTTCGATTGACTCGGCCGGCACATGTTCCCATTCTAGCCATGCACGGACTTTGGCAGCAACCTCGTCGGAAGGGCGCATAGACGCCCGAAGCTCCTCTCTGGTCAGATGGCGGCCATAGTCAGGATGGCCAGGAGTCGACCGGGCTATCACTTGCTCTTCGAACTGAGAGACATTGGACCTGCGCATCGCCAACCAGAATCTCGTTGGCGTAGATGTAGTAGGACCAGACTGTCGCATCCACCCATCCGGAATACCTTGCAGCTGGTCTACTACGAGGTACCTGTCTGCAGGAATAGGGAGTGTAGCGGTCCCACAGACCAGCACAGGCAAAACACCCAAGATAATCGGCATAAAACGCGGCCACATGCTTGCGATCTAGCATAGAAAACGCACGACACAATCGAAGGACTGCACCCACGTGGCTCATTCAAACCCCGGACTACACATGGCTTTTGTGTCATCGAGTGAATGACCGATATCTTCTGTCCTTCCGTATTTTTCACGTGACGATGACAACTAAGCTTCCTTCTGCATGGCGTCCGACGAGAGCTATTCCCTGTCAATCGCGGAATAAGCTCAAGCCTCAACCAGAGTCTGGGCCGGTCATTCCTTCAGCATGGTCAAGTGTGTAGAGTCTCTGATTGGTACCACCAAGAGTTTAGTCCGTGAAACTTTCGACAATAGACACGTTGTCGGTCCGCTAGCCAATCCATTGTTTGGCCCGACATGAGTCCGAATGTGTCCTCGGCAAAAGTTGTTCGATTTCTTGGGTCGCTGCGGTCATTGTGTCTCTGGCTGTGATGGTGACCTCTGGGATTGGGCTTCCAGGCTGATGATGAAGTTTCTGGAAACTGTAGTAGGAGGTAGAGACGGATCAAACAGGAGCGTGAGGCCAATCGCTGCGCGTTGGCCGTCTATTGAACAACGGCTGGGGAAGCTTGAGGCTTTATTGAGGACCAGATGGGGCAAACCCATTGAGACCCGCTCCAAGCGATCCGCTAGTCCTGCTCGGTACCCTGTTGTTGCCTTAGGCTACAAAATTAGACGTTGGCTGAGGTTGGCCTGAGGTTGCTGTAGAGTTAAAATCTACAAGGATCTTTGTCCCAACCCCGGTGGTACTGTATCAAAATCCTGACCAGACATGTGAAGCTTTTTGATTCCAGGGAAGCTGAGTCACTTGGATCACGGTCACATTGGAGTAATGAGCTGTGGGCTTTGTGTTCTATCAAAATAACCGATCTTCAGTACAAGGAAGCCATTGTATTTGTATTCAAGCATTTATTGAGGACACTCACTCATTGGTTTGCCAAGCACACCAGTCCCAGCGACTTGCTGCACTGGTGTGAGCGCTGCACTGGTGTGAGCATCCCCTTCATGGTGATCCTCTGAGATTCTCTCAATAAGTTCAAGTGAAAAGCGTAACCGAAACTCTGTCACGGCTTGGTTCGCAAAGGTAGAGTATGCTTTGTACTCGAAGATCGGCACTGCAGCTCAACACGTGTCGGAGAGCCAGAAACTCTTGATAGGCGCGGTCAGTGATCCACCAGACGTCTGCTTGGCAGAGAAGCTCTAACCACAACATTAGGAGCAGCAGCGCCCGTTCATCTCGCTCAAGCAGAAGATTCCGGTATGCTGCAGATATCTTAGGCCCGAATGACAGCAATGAGTTAGTGCCGTGGGCATTTGATTCATTTTGCTGCAGCATGGGAGCGATGACGCTCAAGGGCATATAATACGGGTTGTTGTCCGGAAGGCTACTGGTAGTGACATCACATAGATCTTCCAGCGCACATCGCAGAGTCTGAGACAAAGGCAGATCCTGCCGAGTAGCGGGCGGGGCTTCCAACGCAAGCCGCTTCTGTCTTTCATTTTTCAAACGCCAGAAGCCTTGCTGCGGGTTCTGTTGCATCATTCTTGCTAAGTAGCCTAGTCCACATTGTACGGACAGCCAGCTGAGGTTGTTGACCCTAGCCGCTGCAGTGGGCTGAAATACCCAAGATCTGGATGGCGATCTCTCATGCGAAGCAAAGGAGATCATGTTTAGGAGAAGCGCGGTGGCATAGACAGCGTCTAGCTTACTTGACGCTGTCGGATGCTGCGCGAGCTCTTCCCTAAGCAAGCGTGTTGCTGTCTGTGTATGAAGCCAGCACGCCTTCTGGTACTCGGTGCTTGCAGGCTGCAGATGCTGCAGATGTCGAGCCGAAAGTGCTAGGAGAGCACTATGAAGCATTGGGATGGATGCGCAGTTGGGCAGCAGAAACTGATTGAATATCTCCCTTCCAACTTCAGACGTCAATGTTGCATCAAGGCAGCCGTCAATATGCCGTAGAAGATATATCGATCTGGGTGTTGGCGATATTCCACCAGGAAGCCAGGGTCCGTTGGGATTCAAGCAGTTGTTGAAATGACTATGATTGCCTGTCACATAGCCTGGCCAGACAGGCTCGTGATCTTCCAAGCTAGCCTGACTGTAGGCAGCACGAGGGTCACCATATACGCACAGCGTCCGGCGCTGGCAGCATCTGCGGCAGCTGGGGCGAATCTCATCGCATTTGACTCTACTGCTCTTGCACGCTTGGCAGCCTCCACGGGACTTGGTATGAGACTTTCGAGACAAGCCTTGCTGTTGGGACTGTCTCTTGGGTGCGGAACTGATCCGAAATTTTCTCAGCCCGGGCGTGATATCCATTGGGCTTTTGAAGGTGGTCTAAGCGAGAACTGATCCGAAATTTTCTCAGCCCGGGCGTGATATCCATTGGGCTTTTGAAGGTGGTCTAAGCGAGAACTGCAGACATTGAAATGCGTACGTATTTGATGGTCGTACTCAGTACCCCGTTGTCACTCGGTAAGTTAGCCTGGGTCTCGGCGCTGCAACAGGCGCTTCGAACCTAATCCCAAAAAGGCAATTTTCGTATCGCAGAGTAGAGCAGCCATGACATGAGAACTATGCAGACCAAGTCTTCGCTATAAGTTTGAGCTCTTATCCCTCGCAGATATTTGTCTTTCACGAGAGCTTTACTGAGCATATTGGATGATAAAATGCTTCGTGTTGCTATCGCTGGAGGCCATGGTGGTGTTGGTCGCACAATTGTGGAGGTGTTGAATGATTCTTCTGAGCACGAGGCTCTTATCCTATCCCGCAAGGTTGTAATCATTACATGTCTGGTTTTTCTAGGTGCATCGTTACTGACAAGGCTGAGTAGTCTGATGGCGAGGGTGGCAAGACCATTCAAGTCGATTATGGAAGCGTTGACGGTTTGGTTGCTGTGCTAGACACACATCAAATCGACACAGTGATCTGTTGTTTCGCCGTGGAGGGAGATTCTCTGGCGATATCGCAACTAAACCTCATCCAAGCTGCCATCAATTCCAAAGTCACTCGGCGATTTGTGCCCAGTGGCTTCGCCATTCCATATCCTCAGGAGTATGTTCCGCTAGGGTGGATGTATACTTTTTCATGCCACATAAGCTGATGAATCTTAGTGCCGTGAAGCTTTTGCCGCAACTTGCGGACTATTTCAAAGCGATTGAAATTCTCCGACAGTCTGATCTTCAGTGGACCGTCTTCCACAATGGTATCTTTCTTGACTACTTCGGTCCATCGACGCTCAAATCATACCTGAAACCGAATATCTTCGTTGTAGATTTGAGAAACAAGACAGCAGGAATCCCCGGAGATGGTGAAGTTCCAATCACATTCACCTACACCTTTGACCTGGCCCGGTATGTTGTCGCCATGCTCGACATGGAAGACTGGCCCGAAGAAAGCCGTGTGATCGGCGATACTGTCACCTGGCATGAATTCGTCAGGCTGGCGGAGGAGATCTGTGGTGAGTCTGGTTTTCGCTTTCTCCGAGAGACTTTTCTAATTCGAACCGCCAGGCTGTCGATTCGAAATTCATTATGACAGCATAGAAAAACTCCGGGGGTTCGAGATAACCGAGTTGCCTGGACATCAAGCCCTGTATCAGCATTTCCCGAAGAAAGCCTTTCAGTGGTTCATGTCAATCTTCGAACTGTATACCGCAGATGGCACATCATGCATTACGACCCAGGACTCATTGAATAAGATCTTCCCCGACATCAAGCCGCTTACTGTGCGAGACATGCTGATCAAATATTGGAGTGATGAATGAAGAAATCAATAGGTCCATGTAGGTAAGCCACCCCGATGGTCGGGTGCAAGCAAACGTGGCTCTTTGACATGATTAGAAGCCGGATTTGTGTCGAAAATGAATTTGATGATACCGGAGGATTTCAGGTTGTTCATCTTTCGAGGAACAATGTTGCGCATCATTTGAACATTTTGTGTCTCTAGATTTAAATATCGAGAGTTTAACTGCCGATTTGGTAGGCTGACATGCCTGGATCGTGCCATGAGAAATGGATAGCTGCTTAAGCTCTTCTGCCCAAGGTTTTATGCTGTGCGTCTGCCAATTAGCACGCTGAATGATTAGGTGGCTGCCAGGTGGTGTTTGCACGGAGGCCACCGGGAAATGGGCCTCTCCAGTGGGTCTTGCGAGCGGAAAGTGATCCGTCCGCCGCAGTGCTGGGGTCTAGAACGGGGCCGTCAACCCTATTATTCCGTTCCAGTTCCTTATCGTTCAGTAGAGCCGTGATTCGTAGCTCTATCTTCTTCCTACTTTATACTCCATAGTGTGTGGAACAACGTGTTGGATGCGCATCGGACCGTCTAGCTGCATGTTGCATTCCATACCCTGTCATCTATCACCGGATAACCAGACCCCAAGGACAAGGACTTCTGGCGATTCCAGAGCGGGTCGGTAAGCAGGATGACATTGGATAGTGCAGGGGCCACTAATTGTAGACCGGCCGAACGGACCGTGGGGTCCAAAAAAGAAATCCACGGCGTGATGTGCCTGAATGAGGACGGATGGCCGAGGATAGACATGTCAGACAGTCAGAAACAACAGTGAAATGGCGGGGTAGACCGATGTTCTTCTTTCCTAGGCGAGTCAGCATGTTTCTTCGTTGAAGCACGGCGGCATTACTCCGTACTGTACCTAGCAGGCATGTCTTTAGACCCCAAAGTCTACTTCCTTAACCGAGAACAGACCCCTGAAAATCCGATATTGCGAGGAATCCTGGTGGTTGGGTCAGCAAGTAGGAAAAAAAATAAATGGAAAAGTAAAAGAAGAGTGCGTGATTCACTTCAAGTCTTCTGAGGGTGTACTCCGTAGATGGTGGGTTGGCAAACTTGGCACGGAATGGGGAACAAACCAGTCAGGCACGGACTCCCTTGTCGAGTCCTTATCTGCTCGGCCTGACAGGGACGAGCCCCTCTTGACACCCACACATCCACAAACCACGGAGTACTAACTCAGGTATCG